GTCGCCCATATTTCTTGTCTCATATCTTCTATGGAATTAGGATTTCTGCGAATAGCTAGACCATAGTATATTGTCAACTCGTCGATCAGTTTGCCTGTTAATTTGCCTCTGCCGCCAAGACCTCTTACATTTTTTTTCAAATTTCGTAATCTCGTGCCCATACGTTTTTGAATGTGATCTATACATTCTTTTTTACAAACATTCAAATCATCATAAGGTTTCGAATCTAAAATGCCTTTGAATGTTTTGCTGTCCCCGTCTCCGATATAATGAGAATATTTTAAATTGTGCAATTCTTCGGACCGCTGAAACATTTCTACGACTGCGTCTACTTCCATCTTTCCCGACGAACCTTCGTGATTTCTTTCGCAGTTTGCTTCGTGATTTGCAGCCCATTCTTCATATTCGCTTGTTTCTTGCTTTCCGTTCCACAAACTGCAGGCCTTACAAAATTTAGATTTCACTGCAATGTCGATGATTTTTCCCGTGCACCACCCTATTAGTGATACGACACCGAACAAAGACGAGAATCCCCTCTTCCTCCAGGTCCCGTCACCAGAAACTGTTATCCCGTCTATCTGTCCTCTTTCCAATGACATCTTCTTTTCTTTTGCAGCTGCTCGTTTTGTTGATGTTTCACATACAGCATTAGTGGCAACACGAATGTTTGAAATTATTTTATCATAAAAAGACTGATACACTGGTATCGGCAAACACATAAATGCACAAAATTTTTTAATTCCATTGATTCCTATACCGAGTAATCTCATTGTAAATACCAAACGGCGATTTATGTCGTAAGCATGATTGTTTATAAGTGGGCTAGAATTAATATATTTTGGCAGGCACTTTTCACAAATAACAGCAATTTTGAAACCTAGACCGCGACAACTGGATTCTTCAAACTTGATGTTCGAGCCACATGTTTTGCAAACAATTAATTGCGAAATGCTTGTAAAAACGGTAACAAAATTAATGAAACGATACCCAAAAGTATTGTTCACGTGTATCTCGTAATCGTCCGCACTCGTTTTAAGTTTTTTCGCCGACGTGCTTACACTTTCAGTTTCGCCTTCTAAAGAATACCTATTTAAAGGCTTCCTTCTATTTATTGAACTTCGAATTGCACGTGCAGTACTTGCTCTACTCCCTTTTTTATTTGCATATATTCTTTTGTTCGACATTATTACAACAATGTTACGACGTTTCAATTCAATTTGAAAAGCCGAAGCCGGTGGTACAACGGACACTGTTCGGAGTAAACACACAATTCCGGCATGAAATAAAGTATTATATGACAGGAATATACTGTTTTCTGTTGAAATGGTCACAAACGACATCTACAGTACTATACTAAACTATCAGGAACCTTCAACTACTCGAGAGTTGAAGTAGAAAGGTAGAATACTCGGAGAGCGCTCCGAGGCTCTCTCCGCGCGCTATGGCGCCGCGTACAAAAATGGTTATTTCGTACATGAAAGAGTTCCAGATCGACTTTAGGCGAATAAAATTATATTCTAGACATTCCAAAGTATCATTTAAGCAAAAAAAAAAAATCTGAATTTTTTGACCCTCAAAGGTGTTATAACCCCTTAAGTTTTATTGTATAAAATTTTGTATAAAATATAAAATAATAACCACTCTGTATCAAACTTTTCTAGAAAATAATTATTATTTATAGTACTTGTACATGTACCTTATAAAGTATATATATCTTATAAAATAATAAAATATATGGTCTCATAATATTTGAAGAAGATATAAATGAAATATTATACGAGTTTGAAAATATAATCAAGAATTACTATGAGTTTAAGTATGTTTTTAACATTAATTTTTGTTGCGTACAGACTACGACGTCTTTAATGGACGTCTCTTGGATTTTTCTGCAGCATTTTTTAGGTGTTTTAATTTCTTACATTGATAGGAAATTTGTGTTTTTCCGTTTTACTTATAAACCATGGCTTCAAAAATGTATACATTTCATTATTAGGAGATTCTTCGCTATAACGCACAATATCCTTAGTGGATGAATCCCATTGAAATTTATACATGCATTCATCATGATCTTTAATTACGATTCTCTTGACATGGTTTAGAAATATTTCGCAAAACATTTTACACTTGTCCACATTACAGTCAATCTGCGTAATAAAAAAAAATCAAATTAATATATGTGTATAACCATATAAATATACAGTTATAAATACAGTTATAAATATATATAAATATAAATATAATATATAGTTTATTTTTTTTAACGAATTCAAAAGTACTTTTGAAAATTGCGGCAAAATATGCGTAGGATATTCTTTTATCATCCGCACTGCATTTTTAACTTTTAATCCACATATAGTTGTGTCTATTCCTGTTAAATAATTCTGACTCCACCAATCTACTACTCTGTCAGGATTAAGTTTGCCATACAAATTCCCATTTTTATTATACAGTGATAATGTTTTCATTTCGATGATTTTAAATTTTTTGCCAATGAGAGTATCTTCCATTGGCTGTTCTGAAGAAATGCTGTCTATTTTTCCTGTGTATAATAGCGAATGATCGCCAAATTTTGTTTTAAACACACAACGAAATTTTTTACATTCATTGAAAGGCACTGATAAATTTGGCTTATGTGCTGGGTGATCTGTTAAACAAACAATACATATTGCACAATCATGTTTACGTAAATTATGTATGTAAATTAATTTGTAATAAAAATCATATAGATTGATCAAATTGTTGCTATATATAATGTGAATGTAATACCTGCTACCATGTATTGTATAAATTTAAGTCCATGTGAATATACTTTATTCTTTATGTTAAAACTGACATTACTGGCACGTTTATCTGTATAATATTCACATAAGTATATTGTATCGCGATATTTGCTGGCACAAATAATCCATCCATCATCCTTTTTATATGGGCTAGAGAATAGTTTTTTTAATGCACCACGGTTGCAAACAAAGTCTACACTCAACCTAATTAATGATAAATTCAGTTATTAAGAATTATCATTTGTTATTATTAAGTTTACTTATAAAAACCTAGATAGTACAGGACGTTCTGAAGTCATTCAGAGCAGCGATCATATAATTTTTTCTCAAAAACGGAAACGTGAAAAGTGAAAAGTTTCACGTGAACTTGATGGTCTTAGCGACCATATAACTTCTCGAACAATGGAAAAAAATATGAGTTTTTTTTAAGTAAAATCTTACTTTTTACGAGTTTATGCTACAGAAAAGATACATAATTGGTACCCATAAGTGTGTCCAAGATGTCCTGGGGGATTTTGTAGACGTTTTGGACACATTCAGAATGATTCTAGAATGTCGTATACTATTTGAACAATTATCATTTATTATTATTTATATTTAAAATAGTGAGGAATATATATATATATATATATATATATTTATTTATTTATTTATTTATTTATTTGCAATATATTATACACACATGTATATTATAAATATATTATTGCATTAGTTATGATTATTTAATAACATACCAATGTCCTTCGTTCGGTGATAGTGGTTTTTCAAGCTGGTTAAAATTGTCCGAAATCCATTTTAATATATCATCCAATTTGGTATATAAATCAGGTTTGTGACAAATAGACGTAACATTATAACCAAGATCATAATTTGCATTGTTAGGATCTGAAGGGGGAATATAATATTTTAATTGCGATAAATCAGCGTGATATTGCAAATCACCGTCAATACTAAAAGATCCAATTAATTCCATTATTAATTCTGGGAGCTTTCTTTTGGAAAAATTTTTAATTTTAATTTTAAACATTGTAGATTGCTTATTAATACTGCGACACTGAAGATTTTCACTACGACCCGATCATTATCACTATGTGATACTGACTAACGTTTAACGATTATATCTTATCTGCATTATGCCTCATGCAATTATGACTCATTGGAAGAATAAAGCGAAATCTATACGGGATGGAAGTCTTATCTAGATTTATCGTTCAGATAAATATAATTATTGCACTAATTCAGCAGTACAGCTAAAAAGAACAGAACAAGTGAAAATCCTTATTCTTTCGTATTTTAAGCAGTTTATTTTTTAATATACAAAACTGTAAAGGTCAATCAATTACAAAGTTTAATTTATTTTAAATAGCTATCAGCAAATCTCATAAGGTAGTTTCATCATACTAGTCTCATCATGTATCTCTTATGCGTTCATAGACGTTAGACAAACGATTGTTATTCGCATTGATCCACGAAAATATTAGTTGGCGAATTATCGCAAAATAAAAATGGTTGTTCATGTTGATGTGTGTGTAAGGTATAATTTGAAAAATAAATAAGACTTTAATAATCATGATACAATTAGATACAATTTATGCAATTTTTCTATTTTTTTCTTATTAATATAAATTTTCTAAAACTATATAAGAAAATTATAAAGTCAAATATTTCTTTTATATGTGAATGTATGTACATTACAAAGATGATATAATGTCTTTCTAAAGTTATACAAGTTTTTCTCTCTCTCTTGCAATTATATTAAAACTTAAATTTATTGCTTTCTAATATATATATATTTTTTTTAATTTTGTAGTTTAGGATTATGGAAGAATGCACTTAAAATAAGATATTATCAAAGCTAAATTTCTGAATATAGATATTATATGTATTACAAAATAACAAAATACATGATAAACATTTATATGTCAATATGTAATGTATGAAACATATCAAAGGCTTTCTCATATAGATATAACAAAGTACGATTCATAATTTCTACATCCATTATCTTCATCTAAAATAAAAAAATTAAATATTTCAGACAACATATTTTTAAACATATTTTTAAAGAAATTAACATGTAGAAATATTGACAAATATAAGGAATGTATTTCGAGAGAAATATAGTTTGAATTTTAATAAAAACTAAGAAAAAGTTTTTTGATAAACTTATAACAAATACATGAACTTACTCTGTTTTCCATTATTGTTATTCCAGGCAGATTAATTCTATGCAATGTACATAGTCCCAATTGTATCCCTCCTATTGTTAACATTTGCGTATGTAGAACTTCATAAAACTGTTCTATGTGTTTAAGGTCAAGAATTGTGTTAATCATATTGTTATCTTGGTCTACAATGCTGTAAATTAGTAAACAAAATGAAATGTTAATTGCAGACATTTTAAGTATTCTTGTACAATTGAATATTAATACTACATGCATACCTTGTTAATATTTTCCTTAGCTCTGAGATATCAAATTTGACTTTAATGGTATCTGTAACTGGTAATTCTGGTACTGTGTATTCCATATGAACCTCACCAGAGATTATAGGTTCCTCATCTTTGTTAACTGATATAATCATAATTGGAATAAGCCACTTTAGGTCATTCTCATCAACTGGCAATGCCATTACCATACAGTCAAACATATGAGTAATAACAATATGTACAGCATTCATACAATTACGTGTGCCACGACACAATAGAAGAGGCAATCTTGTGGAATTCTTTGTGTCTGGTTGAATCTGTGTTGTTCTCCAAGATAATAATATTCCTTTGTAAATGGATTTTTCTTTGTCATGTTCACTAGTTTTGGCTAAAACTTCTATCTAAAATATATATTTTTGGTAATTTCAAATTTTGCCCATTCTTTCTAATAATATATAACTTAATAGTGACATATACATTTAATATCTTTAAATATAACTTGCTTAATTATGTTACCTAAAATATATATATATATATATATTTATTTATATATTTATTTATTTATTTATTTGTAATTAACCTTTATTGCTGAATAATTTTCATGACTAGTTCTGGATGTAATATTTTCCATTATAGAAAAATTTGCATTATATGTTAGATCTTCATGAGATAAACGTTTTGCAACTTCTTCTCTCAATTTCTTTGAGTATAGTTTCAAAGAGACATCATCATGTTGAAAACCAAATAGAGCAGATACCGCACAAATGTTCCATGTCTGATCTACTAGATCTGCAAAATTTATAAAATTTCAAGCATATGTATTAAAAACTTCCCTAAAAACAAATATTGTGAATGTTTGCAGTAAAATAGGCATATAATCAAATGGTTGACTTATGTGCATGTTTATATACATTAATATTAAACTATACTTAGAATTTACTGCAAATAAACGTTAAACACACGATATTATACATTTTTAAACAATGAATAAATATGCTACATTCAAAATTGTTTTAAAATAAGATGAAACATGTTATACCGTCTAACCCCGAAATATTAATTTCCTCATCCTCTTCTGACCTAGTAGTTAAATCGAATCGCTGACGTGCTCGCACTCGCGGTGTACGCGATGTATGCATCGAACGATCAGTTCTCGACACATTTATTGCTGTACGATTCATTTTATAAGAAAATATAAAGTTGTTTAAACGAATATTTTCAACATATATAGAAGAAATTTAAAGGCTGTTCTTTTTAGCTGCACTGCTGAACTAATGTAATAAAACCAGCGGCACACGCTACTTGTTTCGTGTTGGATTGTTTGCTGGATGAATATATTCTGTGTTGATTGGTGCATTTCCATCCATCTTTAGAAATGCACCAATCAGAACAGAGTATTTCCATCCAGCAAACAAGCCAGCACGAAAACAAGCATTTTATGCCGTTACCTTTAAATATAAGTTTGTGTTCCAAAACGTCCTTTTTGAGGAAAATTTTATTTTCAATATCTATGGTTTACGTCACATATATTATAGAGTATTCAGTAAAATTTCCTTAAAATATACATTTTGGAGAGAATGCAACCTCGATATATTTCGTAACGCATCCGGTCTCCAATAGGGAAATTTATTTTTTGCAAATCACTAGAATTGAAATTTTCTTATTGAATATCGGGTATATTACGAAATTCATCGAAATAGTACTTCGAATTTAACCATGTGAACGAGACTTGTTATCCTCTCTTTTCAGTGGTTTGTTCTTTTCAGTTGCACTGCTAAACTGGTGCAATAAGTTAGGGTGCGTTCCCATTTAGCGCGTCACGCGTCACGTCGTCCTTCGCAGACCAATCAAATCGTCCCATTTTATTCGTCGTAAAATTAGGCAATAAAATGGGACGATTAAATTGATCCGCGACGGACGCGACGCGTGATGCGCTAAGTGGGAACGCAATTTTATAGTTCCTGCCCACAGGACGCGGCAACGCTTGCCGTGCGGCGGAAGTTTGCGCGACAGCCAATAAAAATGTTGTTTTTCCGTAAGAGCTAGAAGGTTGTTACGGGTCCTGTGTGCAGGAGCTATTAGAGTGAGAAAAAATATACTTGTCTCACTATAGGCTGCGTTCAGATTTCCCACCAGGATGTATTCTATTACTAGAAGTGCTATAGTATATATAACATATACTATAGTGTTTCTAGTAATAGAGTGCACCCGGGTAGGGAATCTGAACGCAGCCATAGGTGCGTTCGGGGAGCTCGCTATTAGCGCTATTCAGTGCTACCGTGGGTTAGGCGACAGTTTCCAGAAAAGTGGAGGGGATAATGTTGGTACCAAGAGAAATCTCTACACGATATAATTTAAAGATCTGTTTTTGTAACTGCACTGCTGAACTAATGGCTGCATTCAGCAGACTCAACAGTTGCACAACAGTTGAGTAATTTGTCAATGTAATTGGTCTAGATTTAGGGATCTAATAGCAAGAACCAATAATCGTTGATTGCTCACTGAGCGCTTTTTCTACTGAATGCGCCCAATGCAAAAGGTTATGGCTCTTGCACACAGGACGCGGTAATGCTTGCCGCGCGGCGGAAGTTCACGCGACAGCCAATCAATATGCTGCTTTCCGTAATAACCTTCTAGCTCTTACGGAAAAACAACATATTGATTGGTTGTCGCGCAGACTTTCGCCGTGCGGCAAGCATTACCGCGTCCTGTGTGCAGGAGCCATTAGAGTCAGAAAACGTATACTTGCT